GGGGGTCAGACTAGATGATCTGTCTAGGTCCCTTCCGATTCATTGATTCTATGATTCATCTTTATCCTCACTCCTTTCTGACTGCACAAGAACACAAGCGCCTGTCTGGCTGACAGTCATATGCAGTGACCCCAAACCCACTGCATGTTGTATGATTAAGTGTCACAAAATGTAGAAAATAAATCAGAGGAGTTACTTCTCAATACATTTAGTCTCAAAAAGTGGACTGTACATTTACTCTTGTGGGAGAAAAGGAAGGGTATCCCCTCCTCAAGTGACATTCCATTTCTTCATCCAAGACTCCAAAGAATTTCCAAGGGGACCAGGGAGCATGAATGTAGAAAGGCAATCTGTAGAGCAGCCAGATGTATTGATACTTCCATTGTGGTCTCCCCATACCAGCTTGGAAACATGATACGAAGCCACTGGACTTTACTTTCAGCCTTCAAAGTCACATACTCAGGTACTTCTTCCCTGGTAAATGGGACTATATGGAAGCCAGATGGTGCTACTTCCCAGGCTAAGGACCAGTTTTACACAGATACTAAAATAAGGTCACTCAAACTTTTTCTAACCAGGAACTACTCTGACATCTCACTGGGAAGTAAGTTGGTAAAACTGGGAATGCCTTTATGCTTAATAGAAATGAAAACCACAAAGATCACACAATGCGAACTGCCATCTCTATCCAAGCAGCTCTGGGATCAAGATGCAGCACTGCACACTAAAACCTTTAATAGTCATCAGATGAACTTGGGTCACGTTTGCATGAATATCCAAGCATGCACTATCTGTAGAAATCCAGGAACTTTTAATCTAAAGAGGGACCATGTAAGACCTAGCTCTTTACTAAAAGAGGTGGCAAAGTTTGTGGCTTGTTATGTACAAATCAGAAAAACAGGGTATTTCAAAGCAAGACTCACCTTTGTCACAGCCATTTCCGTTTTAAGCACCAATGTCTTCTGAATGTCCCTTACCAAACATACATGGGATTCAGTGGTGCTCAAGGACTAATGGAGGAAGAAACAAACAATCAAGTTTAAAACACATTATAACGATGCACATCTTAACAGAACACACAAAAATCCCCTTTCAGACAGATCTACCAAATCATCTTAGAAAGGAGACCATTTTCCCTTCTTATAGGGCTCCAATTTAAAAAAATCTCCCCCTATTCAGAGAGCAGTCTGACACTTGTGCTAGGGGCTTACAAAATATGGTTTCAAATTCAGTAGGTTTTACATACCACTCTTTCAATAATAGGCTGTAAGGTGTTTCCATAAACGATCATCAATGACTGCTTGTCTGAGCAAAACGCAGCTGCTAGGATAGGGACTGGTTTTGGTGTGGAGTCACTGTCATTTCCAGGCATGGCTATCTGGATAGTGCAGTTTGATGTTAAGGGCTTTTTGCAGTACCTATTAAAATAGGAATTAATTGAAATAGATTTAACACATTTACATTGTGCATTTCTACAGCATCTTTTATGACAAGATCGCTAATAAACTCAACCTCAACTGTTCATTCATTTTACAGAGAGGGTAACACAGGCACAGATGAGTTTAACTTATCCAAGATGACAAACAGCAGAGCTAAGTACGGAAACTAAAAATCTCAGTTCAGTAGCCCTCTGTTCCACCTACTAGATAACCATCTCCCACACCCCCAACAACCTGACATGCAAGAGAAACTTGGAACTCATCTTATGAACAGGTGTAAAGAGTTTAAGAAATGCAACACAATATTCAGAAATTACTGAAAACATCTTTGACATGTCCTCAGGAGTTTGTCAAATGTAAACACCAACTCACCCATTTAAAATGTGTTCAAATAAATGCAGCTGTCCATCTCTGCATACAACTGCTAACTTCACTGGCTGAAAGGAAGTCACAACATGTTATTTTACCTCATCACCTTCATTCATCACTTACCCTACTACAGAAAAACTGAAATCAAATCACAAATGCGCACCTGTAAAAGATTTAAACAAAATCTTCAAGGATTGGGAAAGCTCATAGTTGCCAAGATAACATTTTGGGAATAGTTAGGGCAACTTTCAAGAATCAGAATATGGCTATTCAATATATTATAGCTCTACTGCAGTACTACTGATATGGCTCGGTCCTACCAGAAAGCCTTAGATGATGCAGAAGCACAAGTTTGGACAAGTGGTATTTAATAGGAGGAG